TYKWRAAAAAAAAAAAACATGCATTGCTCACAGCTACTTTGTTCAAATGCTCAGAGCAGAAATATTCCAAAAATAGTCACTCTCAACCAAAAAGAAATATACACATTTTCTAAATGTTTTAAAGTTGATTTACAAAAAAAAAAWAAAAGCTATGTTTCTTGGAATCACAGAATTGGTAAGGTTGGAAAAGACCTTGAAGACTGAACCCATCACTGCCAAGTCCACCCACTAAACCMTGTCCCCAAGTGTCACATCTACATGTCTTKACTCCAGGGATGGTGTCTCAGTCACTTCCTTGAGCGGTCTGCTCCAATGCTTGACAAGCCCTTTTCATGAAGAAATTTTAATCCCAAGACCKTTTTTTCCATGGAGCTTTCCAGCCACTCTGCCCCCAGCCTGTAGCATTGCCTGGGTTGTTGGAAGCCAAGTGCAGGTCCTGGCACTTGGCCTTGTAGAACCTCATACAAGTGACATCAGCCCAGCCTGTCCAGATCCCTGTGCAAAGCCTTCCTGCCCTYCAGYAGATCAACATTGCACTAACCTTTAACTAATTGATCTAAGATCYTGGAAGGGGAAGGCGTGCTTTAATTTTCTTTTTTTGGCAGTAATTTTAGCAACTTTTTAAGTTTTGAAGACACTTAATGGAGACACATCAACCCTTAACTGTTCTGGAATCCTTACTCTAATTCAGTGGCTAATTCAGTGGCTAATTCTCTGRGAAATCGGGAAGGAAAGCTCCTCAAATAATTTGTGTAGTCTTTAACTTCAGTGAGCAGTGCTTGAGCTTCCAGAGGTTTCCTGGAAGTGTAGCATGAGGCTTTAAAATGTTAAGCTATGTTGAAATACCAAGTATGTAACTTCTGCATTTTGTCAGGTTTTCTTCATCCAACTGACTTGCACTACTCTAAAGTGTAACTGAAAGTCAAAACGTTTTAGGGCCTTTCATAGTCTGAGTATACCTTTAAAAGGGCCATTTTTAGAAAAAAAAATGTTTGGCTTTGACTACCTGCTTTGAGTAAAGAGGAGGAATGAGCCAGAAATCTATTGTCAGTATGGCATTAAATTACTGTCAGCATATTTTTTTCTCTTCTTTTTTCTTTTTTTTCTTCTGCTATTAGGGACGAAATAATTATTTATTTTAAAACTGTTTAATATGACTTTTAACAGTAAGTGTTGTACACTCCATTCAAATAGAAAGCAATGCATTATTTGTGCACTGTATTGCCCTACCTTTCTTGAAATCGGTTWATGATTATTTATTTAGAATTGTGTTGACTGTGGTTTTAATTATAATATACCCTTACAAAGCAAGAAATTGAGGAATTTAAAAGCATTTTCACTTTTCAATAGCTTCATTTGAGAATGTGAAAAATACTTGTTTAAAAAACATTTAGAGCTGCCTCT